GTAGACATTGCAATCTTGCAACAGCTCAAAGAATGTATGTAACTCCAGAAGAAGAAGTTGAATCCGCGGGTGAAGGGCTTTTCACGGTAGCATGCTTACCTCAGGATCGGAGGTGATCAAAAATCACACCAAGCGATAGGTCATTTGGCAAAGCAGAGATGGATGTGTCCCACCCAGTTTCAGGAAAACTAGGACGAGATATAGCTGCTACCGTGGACGATGTGCTTATTGCATCACTATGTGCTTCCACGAGCTCAGCGTCAACAATGCTCTGAATGGCATCACTTTTCCGTTTTCCTTGCCGACGCCTGCTGCCAGATGTATCTGGAGTGCGCAGTTTTGGATCGTTGTGGTAGAACCTGGCCCTGAACAGATGGAGGAAGTTGGAAAGCAAAAACATGTACCGATAAAATTTCCTTTTCCTTTTGCGAAAAGTTAGTTGAAGACTGCATCCCGACCAGGTACTTACGGTTCGAGCAACTCATCTCGTTTCCCGGACACTCGGGCTCCTCTAGCTCGCAGGTACGTCTTCAACTGGTTCACCGTCCATTTTTCAAACGACTCGTTGTACGGAGGCATCACAAACCGAACATTAGAATCTTCAACTTCATTTTCAGTCACAGAACTAGTTTCAACGTTGACTTCATCGCAACGTACCGCGGCAAGAGATGAAGGGCTTGGCTCATGGACCGCTTCATCGGCCATGTTACATGATGTATCAAACTTACTGCAAAGGCCCAACGAGAAGTAAATGCAAAGAGACACTTTCTAAACAAACAGCGGACAGCGATGAAAAAGCGAGAATAAAACAGCAACCCTTCGCTGTCAGTTTTTTCGATCAAGGAGAGTCACTTTTTTCTGGCCACGTGGGCGAGGACACGCCAAAACCGGTGATTGATCGTTGCGGTTCTGGAACAAGAGCTCGCGCTCGAGGAATGCACTGCATGTATCGCGTGCACGGGTCACGCATTCAGTACGCGTGCCTTGCCCCGCCAAGTCAGTGCGTGTCTTATTTGGCAAAATACCTATTAAACAAGGACTTGTTTTTATGTAATTTCATGGACATCAGGAGATAGCATGTTGAAGTTGTGCAGGGAGAGATAAATTGGTGAGCTGGTATATCCGTGTGTTTGTGTGTGTGTGTGCGTGCGTGCATGCGTCGCGTGTGCGTGTGTACATGTATGTGTGTGTGAATGTGAGTGTGTGTGTGTGTGTGTGTGTGTGCATGCGCGCACATGTGTGTGTGTGTGTGTGTGTGTGTATGTGTGTTGTGTGTATGTGTGTTGTGTGCGTGGAGTTCTCAGTGCATCTATGTTCTCAGCACGGTGTCGCAATGCAGATGGTTGTTCTGTTGTGTTAGTGACCATGTTGTCCACTGGCAACTGCAGAGCAACAGCTGCTTAGTGTACCTCTACGAAAGAAATGTTCTGGAAAACGATTTCTGGCCCGAGCATGTGACAGCACGAGAATGGAAGTTCAAGAACCCACCCCTCCCCAAGCAATCATAAACTGTGATGTTGAATCCACACGCACCCATCTTTTTTCCCACTAGGACCACATCGACACCATCATCTAACCGTGTGTCAGGGCAACTGAACCCAGATGCACCTTCCTTCACTCTCCCATCACCATACGATACCTCAGCCTTCATACCAAACAAACATCCCCATCATATGCGGCTAGCCACAACCAATGCTTGCAGCTAGTACCCAAAGGCCGATGAAATTAATAACATATTTGGTACTTCAGACATGGACATATTAGGCATCACCGAAACCTGGCTAACTCAGAAAATTCCTAACTCTGTATTATTGCCAACTGCCGCTTTTAACATAGTGCGAAGAGACCGCCCATCTCATGTCGCTCTGCGTGGCGGTGGTGTTGCTTTCTTACTCCGACCAGGACTCGCCTACGTCAGACGAGCAGACCTCGAGCCTGCCAACAACAACCTTGAAATCCTATGCATTCAACTTAAAAATGGCCACAAAGATTTCTATATTTTCTGCTGTTATCGGCCACCAAGGCAGGATCATTCAACCTTCCTCTCTGGCTTGCGTGAGTCCATCTCTTCCATTACGGACACTACGGCTTCCAGTATCATCCTCGGTGACTTAAATGCTCGGCACAACGAATGGTATAGGCAGGATCCGAACACTGCTGCTGGAAGATGCCTTGTCGAACTGCTGGATGATACTGGTTTTACACAACTTGTACGCGACCGCCCAACACGTTTCTCCGCCGCAGGTCAGAGCTCTTCTCTCCTGGACCTTGTTCTCTGTAACCAACCATTCCTCATCCACAACCTCACCACACTTCCCCCTGTCTCTGATCACTGTCCTGTGGTATTTGATCTCGCAATACAGACTCGTTCCCAGCAACCAGTGCACTCTGATTTGCTCGTGAACAACTATGCAGCCACAGACTGGCCCGCACTTAATAACCACCTTTGGAGCCTCCCTCTTCTCGCTGCTGTACAAGAAGCCAGTAGTACAGATGAAGCATGGGTCTCCTGGCGAACACTAGTTGACACAGCCATATCATCTTTTGTTCCGAAGGTTAGAAAGCGAACAAATCGTTATGGAAAGCCTTGGTTCACCTCTGTGCACCATCGCCTCCATCAACGTCGAGATCGACTATTTGCTGCAGCAAAACGCGTCAATACCCCTGAGTGCTGGGCTGCTTATCGCATTTCAAGGAACTGCCTCGTCGCTGCCATCCGTAAAGCTAAACGTCACTTCTACGACCAGATGTCAGAAGGCCTTCATGCAGATCGAGGATCTTATGACTGGTGGAAGAGAGTCAAGAAAATGTGCTACATCAATTGTCCTCACACCCCTATACCTGATATCCAAGGAGTCGATACCTTAGCGGTTACCGGCCCTGAGAAAGCGAACATCTTCTGTAAACAGTTCGCCAAGAATAGTCAAGCTACGCCGTCGTCGGATGCAGATTATCGTGATCTCGCCATGCCTTCTTCGTCGGAAACATTTGCCATCCGCCCTCTGTCTATCGTAGAAGTGTTCAAGGCACTGTCGACCCTAAGTGTGCGAAAGTCTACAGCTGGCAGTCTTCCTAACAGGATCCTACGAGAGACAGCAGAAGTGCTCGCCCAATCCCTCACTGCTCTCTTTAACCGCTGCACCACTTACCGATCCCAACCCCTTGAGTGGAAAGTTGCAATCGTTACCCCAATTTACAAGGGTAAGGGAAGTCGCAATGACCCTGCTAACTACCGGTCGATATCTCTGCTGAATGGTGTGGCAAAATGCTACGAAGCGTTAATCAGCCGCCAGGTGTACGCGTTTGTAGCGAAACACAAACTACTGTCGCCGAAACAGTTCGCGTTTCGCCACCACCGAAGCACGGTTGACCAACTTGTGTATGTCACATCAACTGTCAGCTCTGCATTTGATAACCGGGCCCAGTGTGATGCCGTCTTTCTCGATTTCTCGAAGGCATTTGATCGTACCAGCCATCGCCTCCTAGCCTCATGTCTGTCCGGTTGGTGTGCACCTGACTCATTCGCGTGGCTGATGGACTTCCTGGAAGGCCGATCGATGTCTGTGCGGGTCGGCACTGAATTATCAACCCATATGTCGCTCACCGCTGGTGTGCCACAAGGCTCCCACCTAGGCCCTCTATTGTTCAACCTTTCTATCAACTCCCTTCCCAGCATTCCCCAATCCAGCGATCTGACCCTATTTGCGGATGATTCCAACATGGGCTGCGTTTCTCCGCCTACTGTCGTACCCGCCGCGCACACTGCCTCTCTGCAACTAGACCTTGATAGATGTGTGAACTGGTCCCATAAAGCTGAAGCAGTTTTCAATGCTAACAAATGTGTCCATGTTCCCTTTTGCAAACCTAAATCAAACCCACCTGATCCCAGGACCGTCACCATGGCCGGTACGTTACTGACCCAGCCCTCTTCCCACCGCCATCTGGGCATCATCCTCACTCCTTCACTCAATCTGTCCCCCCATATTCAACACATTACAAGCAAATTTCGAGGTCGGGTTTTTCTTTTAAACCACATGTCCAACTTCCTTCCTTTTCCTGCTGTGAATCATTTGTATAAATGTTATGTTCGTCCCCTCCTTGAATATGCTGTTCCCGTTTGGATGTTTTCCGTTTCAGCCACCATGTCCACAACCCTTGATAAACTGCAGGCTACTGCTGCTAGAGCATACTTAAATAGTAAACTCAAGCGTCGGCCTGACTGGACGACTTCCAAAGAAGACCTCAATGTTTTGTCCTCTTGGGAATCTTTAGCATGGCGACGGCAGATTCTTGGCCTTGTCTATTTCCACCATGTGTTCTCCCAATATCCCTCATTGTTGTCTCACTTCCAGCTACCCTCTTCCCAAAGCAGCCGTCACCCTTCATCCATAAGTCTTCCTAATGCTGGCACCTACTTTCGTAAATCAACCCTTTTTTCTTTGAGTGTTGCCTGGAATAAACTTCCTGAAGATATTCGTTCACTCTCTACAACAGCGAAATTTAGTATTGCTGTTCGTCGGTATCATTCGCAATCTATGTTTTCTTTGAAAGGTATTCCTGACTTTTGTGTCTAGGCTAACCACATCTATGATAGTTTCAATAGTTTGTGTATATGTCAGTTATAGTAGTCCGCAATGCTGCTTTTCTAATTCTCATTATGATTAGCATGCAATGTACTACCCGAAGTAGTGAATTTACTTCTTTTGTACTAATGTATCTTCTACCTCTTCTCCCTTAGGAACATACTTTCTCATTTTCCATACATACTGAGTTCCCTTCGGGAACGGACACGATAATTTACTTTTTAATTTACTTACTTAGGAGACTCCCTTCGATAGGCATCTATTTGCCTCTGGAGGATCCGTGAAAAAAAATCAATCAATCAAAAATCTATGTGACATGTCTTTCTGATTGACTAGTGGTATGTCCATTGGTTACATGACAAATTAATTTGACGATACTTGGAATTATCTTTACTGGTGTGCCGCTCTGTCTTGCAGTGACCATTTCATCTAACCCAGCGACGACAATTAGAGGGATCTTCTGCCAGGTGCGCGAGCCTGGCGACTCAACACGGGTGTATGGCTTGTTCAAGCCTAGATCATCCTCACTAAAGGCTGGTGCATGCACTGAGACATTTTCGGGGACCGCCGGGGAGGTAAGCACTTCCGTGCATGCAGTCATTCTGAGCGTGTTGTGTCCCGGTACAATGCACCTGTCTTAGCAACCTTGGTCTGTATATATAACATGTATTGCCGGGTCACCAAGTGCGTACTACAATCCCAAATTTGTGAAGGGGTTTCCAGGGGAACTGTCATTGGTGTATCGGTGTAGCTTGTAGCTTTGAGATTGCTGGTCGAGGTTCCTTTATTTATTTTATTTCACCGTCCAATGGCAGAAGCCAATGCAAAGGAGGGGGCGTTAGCCTAGATGGTGAACTTCATTTTTGTCATGCAACACCTTTCTTCTGAAGCAAGGGAAGAACGTTTTGTTTTTTCACGGCTCAGCGTAGCGAAAGAGTGCAAAAAACGTATTTTTCACTCGCAAATATTTTCGTGCGTTTGCTCTTGTTCCGCGCAACTCCGTTGAACCTGCCATCGTGGTCTTTGTTTTTTTCCTCGTGGTAGTTGAAGTTATCATGAGTGTGATTGCTCTGGTAGACCACTACCCCATGTACTGAACAGTTGCGTTGTGAGCGAAAATACTTGTCTTTTTTTTTTTTAAAGTGACGATACGTTTAAAATCACTCTGGGACATCTATCTGAAGACCTGCAGCATGCAGCTGCTGTACACTCTCCTATGCACACCGGTAGAAAAACTGATATTCTCACCTCCCATCATGTTGGGAACGTGTCTCGACGAGAGCGTGTCAAACTCGGGGCCTGAGCTGGGTGTTGAGGCGGCAACTACATAGGCGGCCAAATATTATGTTTTTCTGAATGCACTCCAACGTCACGGCTGCAGTTGTGTTGCTGCAAAATGAGTTCCACCGCGTCAGTGAAGCAGCTGGCTGGCTTTGGCTATGCACACACAAACAGGCGCCGAGATTCCCCAATCAACAGTGCCCTCACCCTTTGCAACTCACTCCCTATCGACGTTAGAGCCCAACCTCGGCGAAATTCTTTCCGACACAAAGCATCCAGCCTTCTTTTGAGCAGTACCTTTTTTTCTTTTTCTTTTTACTATTGACACAGCCCTACTGGAAAACAGGTGGAGAACAAAAAGAAATGAGGAAAAGGACAAACATAGGGGATGTAGGGACGAAGTGCTGATGTGCTGGGAGCAACTCAACCGACCAGAGGTCTCGGCGTCAGCGTTGCAACTAGGCATCAAAAAATGGGGGGGGGGGGGTTGCACAAGAACAACTGCAAAAAAAACAGAAGCTAGAGAATACTGCAAAATGATAACTTGGTGCGAAATAATGAGAGGAAATAATGACACCCAAAAGCGCTATACACGACATTAAGAAAAAGGGAAATCATACAACGCATAGCGCTAAAGCTGCACCAAATAATAATTTAAATTATAACTAAACCGGGTGGAAAACCAAGAGATGTTGTATTTCTCGCCGGCCGAGCGCAGCGAGATAGGCGAGAAATGATTTCTCGCGAAATATTTTTCAGTTGCAAATATGGCATCTGGTGTGTTCTTTGTTGTCGCTTCTTTTCCTGACTTCTTCAGTCAGTTTTGAGTCTCACCAGTGTCCCTGCCCTCCCACCCTTTATTTCTGTGCATATTATCAATGCTTTTTATCACTGTTTGCCGTGATGTGCTTGCCATGCCTACATGATGCCTAATCGCCATTGGGGATATACACCCGGTTTTTTCCCTCGCAAATGCGTCCGTCGGCGCGAGGGTTTTTTCCCGGCTGGCTCGGTCCAGGAAAATTAATCTGACGGTCCCAAGTGGTTCTGCATCATGGCCTATTTCTGCTATCCACTGGCACGACTATTCTTTCTGAGACACTCTGTTCTCAGTCCTTGCTTGCTTCCATACCTCACTCGTTATCCGGTTCACATCTGGCTGCGGCCAACTACCCTTCACTTTGTGTGTTGTCGCTATTGCTGTCTATGTCTCTGTGTATGCCAGTATATGTGGAGCGAGAACATAACAAACAAACTAAAAATAAATGGTAAATGAAGCCCAATATCATCAGCATAGCCGAACCAAGGAACATGACCCGTGCCACAATCAAGAGTTCATCCGTAGAAGTCGGTAGCCATCAGCCAGTGTTGGTGTGTGAGGTGCTTATGGACATCTTCTTTGAACGTGTGGAGCCGCTTCAAGCTGAGTGGAGCCCTTACAATTTCGCTTGGCAAGCTGTTCCATACTGAGATGACAGAAAACGGGAAGGAGCGAGAAGCATAGGCAGGTGCTCTCCTGTCCAGGACTTGCTGCAGCTGCACATGGTGCTGCTGGCCAGGAGGGGGTTGACTCTGGGTGCGCCGAGCTTCTACATGGTTGGCTGGAGGGGGATCATGGCGGTGAGCTGGGGTGGGCCTGGAATGCACTGGAGCTTGTACAGGTATACCAGCCCAGATACAATCCGGCGGTGGCACAGGCTTTGGAGAAGGGCACCAGGGCCAATGACGGCCATTGCACGTTTCTGCACACGGTCGAGTCGGGCGAGGTGGCTGGATGCAGCTCCCATCCACACAAGGGGAGCATACTCAAGGATGGGTCGCACAAATCCTTTGTCCGCACAAAGCCGGCCATGTTAATCTAACACACGGCAAGCCCGACGGAGAACACCCAGTCTCTGGCAGCCACGTGTCGCAATCGAGTGCAAGTGATCCCGGAATGACAGCTTGGCATCAAATGTCACTCCAAGAAGCTTGATGGTGTTGGCTTCCGGAACCGCGATACCTCCAAACTTGATGTCAGGGACAGCAGGGTGTGTGGCTTTCGTAGTCATCAGCAGCTGTTGCGATTTAGAGGGCTCGAATCTGATGTGCCAGCGTTCTCCCCACTCTTCAACTCGCTTGAGGCTGGAATGCAAGGCGGCAGTCATGTTATTCATATTGTTCTGCGTGCCGATGAGGCTGTAGAGGGTTGTGTTGTCTGCAAATGAACTTAGTCGTGTCTCGGGAGACAGGCACTGATCCAGGTCAGACACATACAAGAGGAAAAGTGTCGGGCCAAGGATACTGCCTTGGGGCACACCTGCTGTTACGGGCGCCGGGGAGTAAGATTTACCTTGGACCAGGACTGATAGTTTGAGGTTCAGGAGGTAATCATGCAGCCAGTGCAGCAGGCAGCTACCAATGCCAACGTTCTTGGCTTTGAAAATCAGTCCAGAGTGTGATACTCGATCAAATGCTCCTGCTATGTCCACCGCCACCATGTGAGCGTACCTTCCATCGCTGGCAGTCTTGATCCACTCAGTGTGCAAAGCAGTGAGGATGTCGCACGTGCCTCTTCCTTGCCGAAAACCATATTGACTGTCGGGCAAAATATTAAAATGCTCTACACAATTCACGAGCTGCTTGTTTACTATCCTCTCCATTACTTTTGACAGGATGGATAATAGTGAGACTGGCCGGTAGTTCTTGGGATCCGAGCGGGGGATCTTCTTGAAGACTGGAACCACATGGGCCAGCTTCCATTTGGCATGCTGAACATCGTGGCGAAAGCAGAGTGAGAACAGTTGGGTGACTGGTTCTGCAAGCTCACTGGAACACTGAGCTAGAACTCTTGCTGGAATATTGTCAGGTCCTTTTGCCTTCCATGTATTCAGCTTGGCTAGACGGCGGCGTACATCAGAAAGCCGGAAATGGATGCGGTGAAGACCATGGTGGTCCAAATGCTGCATTTCTGGCAGATCGTTTGGAGAGATGTCAGCATCTGCAAGGCTACACTTCTGGGAGTAGTACCTGGCGAGGCAATCGGCCTCGGTTTGGCGAGTTGGATACTCTGTGCCGTCGGTGTCCTTCAGAACAGGTATTCCAGAGGCACGTTTCATCCCAACAGCTCTCTTCATGTTGGACCACCATTGCTTGTCGTTAAGTGAGCCTGAGCTGAAATTAGCTTTGACACGAGCATCAGTGGATGATTGGGCGCGCAGCAAAATAGCAGCTGTACGGGCCACTAGGTCGATAAACGAAGCTCGCCAACCTCCGTCATCAGGGTGCTGACGCCACCGTTTCCTTGCACGAGTCTTTGCTTGAACTACAATGCTACACTCAGGTGTCCACCAACAAGGGTCTGTCGTTCGTACTCTCAGGGTCTTAGATGGTATAAACGTGTCCATTGCATCCAGAATTCCAGTTGTGAGTTGTTCACATGCAAGTTCGGGGTCATCGCCGACAACAGAAGCCCAGTCAAAGCTGCGGAAATGTGCCCTCAGTCTGCCCCAGTCTGCTTGGCCATAACGCCATACTTTCCTGCTTGTTGGCCGCTCCAGTACAGGAGTGATTTCCTGAAAGTTGGACAATACTAAACAGTGGTCAGAGCGACCGATGGGAGATGATACTGCTGTGTGGACAGGGCCAGGAGAGTCGGACGAGACGAGATCCAATGTGTTTGGCCCACAGGTTGGCTGGGTCAGGTGCAGGACAAGACAGTGTGCTGCACTGATTTCTTCCAAGAACTCTCCTGCGATTGTCGTTCGAGAGCTGCCAAGCCAGGACATGCTGTGAACATGAAAATCTCCAGCCAGAATCATGTGCTTACCATGCTGCCTAGTACTGATCCAGATGCTGGTACGTGATGCCGGCTTTGATCCAGACTCCTAGGCCACCTCCGTGCTCTGTTCGGTCTCGGCGAATCGGGCCACAGTATCCCGGGATCCCTATCGATACCTGGTCGTAGGCTATGATTCCGAGACCTCCGGTCGGATGAGCCTAGCCAACTACAAAATCGCCCCTACTCCCCTTTGTCTTGTTGTCCAGTGTCATTTCAGTTGTCCTCTTCCCCTTATTGTCAGTAGGGCTGTGTTTGCTAGTAAAAAGAAAAAAATCATAAATGCACTGTGAGAGCATTTATCCACTGTTGGTTTCGTCTCAGTCACTATGGAAACATCCGCACCTGAGAGCAACATGGTGTGCTGGAACTCGCCAAACTTGGACAGCAGCCCGCCTGCATTGGTCAGGAGGAGCTTCATGATTGCTGGCTGTCTGCATTCACAATTGCGAGCCACCATCCGTTCCAGCTGACCAA